GCATTTGATTTACGTATCGAATGTAGCACTGTTACAAAAAATAAATTTGAACATGTAAAGTGAAAATATATTCTTTGGACCATTCCACTTAAGAAGTGAGATAGCTTATAACTGATCTGGCAGTGACTGATTTTGTGTGTGTATCTTATACACATGAAAGTAAAACATTTTTGCACAAAAGTTTGCTGAAAATAAAAATTCCCAATAGAACTATTTTTAGTCAAACTTATCCAATTTTTTTTTTTTTTTAATCAGTACCAGGGATTGAACTCACAACCACACGCTTGCAAGGCAGGCGATTATGCTGCTGAGCTAAATCCCCAGCTCCAAACACTTTTTAAAATGCAAACAATCCAAATACATCTTAAATATAGCACTTAGTAGTAGAAAGTATGAAAAGTCAGATCAGAGATCCAGTTTGCTCTGATAATATAGTAACTGATTCTTTTATTTTTTTGATTATTTTTTACACTTACTATTTTGTAAATGTGTGAAAGATAAAGATATGATAGTTGAAAAGCACTTTTTCTTTGATAATATTTTTTAAAAGTATTATTCCAAACAATGATTCTAAAAGTTGATATTAGATAATTTGATTAAGTGTATTATGATATTACTTTTAACATGACATCTAATCAAAATTTAGTGTGAGACATTTCTGAGAGTAATTTATCAAATCTTTTAGATAATTGCATTACATCTACATATAATTATTTTGGCAGGATGGCTGTTTTGACACCAGTGTTTCTGTCTATGCAAGAATAGGGAATGAATCTATATTCTAATGCTTGTGCATTCTGTATCCTTATTTTCCTTTTTCAGGGAAGTAGTAGTTTAATTACCAGGCATTTAATTTGTTTGAAGCTATCGTTTGGAAGAATAATTCCCTGATTTCTTTTCTGTGGACCATGTTTTGCATACAAGAAACACTATTTAATAATTGTCAATTGATTTTATATCCAAGAATTTTTCTAATTTTTTTTAGTTTTACACTATCTTTTGCTGAAGTATTTTGAATTAACTATGAAGAAGAAATAAAAATTAAATATAATTTAGATTCCAACTTATTTGAATACATTTTTTTAAATTTTTCTTATCGCTAAAGTTTTAGGTACTCATTGAACAGAAATGGTTACAGTGAACACCCTGTGTTACACCTGATTTTAGAGGTAATGCTTTGATCAGGTTCCAATGAATGACTTTGGCATTGGTATTGTCCTAAATGAATTTAATTGTTTTCAGGTAAGACCCTTTATTGTGTTTTCCTTGAGGCTTTTACCAGAATATATGTAGAATTTTATCAAAGTTTTTTTTCATCTACTGAGATCTTTTTTACTTCATTGTATTCAAATGTACTTAACCATCCTTACATTCCAGGGATGAGATTGGTTTTGTCATGATACATAATCTTTTTAAATTTTTTTTTGCATCATGCTTTCCCATATTTTTGATAATATTCGTATCTATATTCATTAAAGATGTTGAACTATACTTTGTTTTGTTGAGATCTTGCCTGCTTTGAGTACCAGGAATATACTAGACTCAAGGAATGAGGAGTTTCACAGGTCTTGCTTTATAATTTCCTGGAAGAGTTTGAGGACTGTTGGCCTTAGTCCCTTCCAGAAGTTCTGGTGAAGTTTTTGACTCTTAGAGTTTCTTTATGGGTAGAGCTACATGAATTTTATTGCTTGTTATTGGTCTGTCCAGTGTCTTTATTCTTAATTCAGCCTTGATAATTTGGATGTCTAGGAATTTCCCCATTTCTTTAGTTTCTCCAAATAATTGGAGATGATTTTCTTTCCAGTACAGGGGATCAAACTCATGACCTCAGGTTTGCCAGGCAGGTGCTTTTGCCACTGAACTAAATCCCTGGCCTGCAATGGAAGTTTTTAAGGTGTTCCTTAACCGTATAGAATGTAGCAGTGTCTGTTAAAATTTTACTTTTCATATCTCTAATTGCAGTGATGTATATTTTGTGCTCCTTTTGGAAAATATGTTTAAATTAAAGAGCTTATTAATTTTGTTTATCCTTTCAAAGTGTCACCTTTTTGATTCATTGATCATTTTTATTATTTGTTTCAATTTCATTAACTTCTGCTCTGAATCTAAAGATTTTTGTTTTTTCATGTTTTGGATTTGGATTTGGAATGCCTTTTTTTCCAAAACCAAACACATATTAATTAAATAATTTGGTGATTGTTTTAACAATATCAGTCGTGCTTTCAATAATCAAGAAAAGTCATGATATGCATAGTGACATAGTGAAGGGAGGATAAAGAAAGGAATAAAGACACTCAGAAAGGAATTATTTCAGAAGGAAAAAGCCATAAATCAAAGAAAGAAAGGAGGGTGATGTTGGTATGATTTTTATATCTTAAGTGAATAATAGATAGAGAGGAAATTGTGAGGGTGCATGCTAAATGTCATAGTTTATGTCGTTGGCCCCCAAGCCTCATGCCTTTGCATTATGCATTTGTGATTGGTTCATTGTCTAGTTTCAATTGATGATGTCAGTGCTACACCCACATAGAGGTGGAGCCCGTACACAATGTGATGGCAGGAAGAAGGTGTGTATCTCTCTCTTGCTGAATTCTGCCTTGCTGTTTGCAGCTGCCATGAACTGTGGCCCGCCATGCCACCCTGCCTTGGAGCCACTGAGTATGAGTGAAACCTCCCAAAACTGTAAGAAAAAAAAAAAAAAAAAAACTTCTTTTCTTTTTTTTTTTTTTTTTTTTTTTTTTTTTTTTTTATTTAAGAGGAAAAAGAGAAAAACACAAAACAAAACAAAGCAGTGTAAGGTTAAATCCAAAACTTCTTTTCTTGCTTCGGGCATCAGGTATTTTGCCTCAGCAATGAATAAAAAGTAACTAAGACGCTAAGGTAGTAAAAAAAAAAAAAAAAATGGGAGGCAAGTGTAATTGGAGATTGTACTTCCTGTAATAAGTATTATACTTGCAGTGAGAATGTTGGAAGCAATGTTCTGACAGAAAGTTCATGTTTGATTTCTCTACACACATGTTTTCTCATCTGTTTCATTCATATATTATATATACACATATATATGTAGTGCATATATGTATGCATATATATATATATATACATATATACATATATATGTATATATTTATTCAGAGGAGAAGACAGACAGATACACACACACACACACACACACACACACACACACACACACACTGTAGTACTGTCAGTCTTTTTGGTACATCAGTCATAATTTGCCCAGTATGTCCCCCTTTGTACTCACCAGTGAACAATCTTCAGCTTATAGCGTTCATTGGAGGGTGAGCTCTTGTTCTCTGTGTTGGAGGACCATCCAGACACAAGGCTAGCCAGTGTTTGCGGAGTTTGTAGGAGATTGCCTACTCCCTGTTCTTTTGTTTCCCAACTTCTCCTCTGAATGATTCTCTGGCTTTCTACTTTTTTAGTGTCCTGATTTGCAGGCATCTGGCTCGCCAGTCTCCTTTAACAGAGTGAAGTGCTAGTTCCTGTAGTACTGGACAATATTTTACAGGTTCAGCACCAGGAGCTCCCGCCTGGTCACTGGTGCTGTGCCCAGCTTCTTTCGTGGTGTGATTGATTTCCAAGTTCACCAGTTTGGGGGTCACACCAGGATCATAGACAGCCCTGTTGCTTTTCCTTAGTGTACCAGATCCGTGAATTTATCTTGTTCAAGTTTCCTTCCTGTATTTGGTTCTCTGCTCGCCCTCCCTTTTGAGTACCTGAATTTATTGGTGTGAATCTTCCAAGTGCCCCTTGAGGACTACTTTCCGTTTTCAGTCGTGACACCGTAATAAAAATTTCATAGTCGATTCACCCGGTGAATATATACTTTCCATACATATATTAGCACAAAAATTGTATTTTCTACAAATCAGAGCAAATTCTTCTATCTACCATGAACTGAATACATTTTGGCCTTAACTTTGTTTAAATACTCAGTTTTCTGAACAATCTCTAGAATCAACTTTTCCCCTGACATCAAACACACAGAGAAGGTAAATATAATCAAGATACTTGTAACTAGTTTATATAATATTCAATGCCTTTTTAGAACCCATGAGCTAAATTTAATTTACCTAGATTTGTGCCACTGGAAGAGAAAAGAAATATGTCAGCTCTTCAAAAATATCTGCTTTACATTGAAAGAAATAGATAACATTTTCACTTGCAGCATATTATTTATTTGCCTCATATTATTACTGTTTTATTATAATTATTATTTTACGTTTTAGAGCTTATACAGATTTATTAAGAAACTATTCAAGAGTGACTGAACTCCTCCTTGACTTTTAAAGCATAACTATAGATGTGTGGGAAATATGGCATTTGAAAGGGGGAGAAATATTTTGGAGATAATAAACTTGTTTAGAAAGAGCTTGATATGTACGAGAAATGTTAAAATCACAAAAATGACAGTGCTTGTTTATATGGTTAGATATATTTATATAAATATGTCTGTCTAAAATATAAACAAACATTTATAAATATGCATTCAAAATATATATTGAAAAAGATGTACCAAATAATATTTTAGGTTTCTATTGCTGTGACAATATACCGAGGAAAGCAATTTAAAGAACAACATGCCGTTTTGGCTTATGATTTCAGAAGCTTCAGGCCATGGTTTGCTGCCTCTAAGGTGTTTAGGCCTTTGGCAAGGAGAAATATTATGACCAAACGATAAAGCAGAGAAAAGCACCTCACCACCTTTCAGTGGGCAAAAGGAAAAGAGAGAGAGAGAGAGAGAGAGAGAGAGAGAGAGATAAACATGAGAGGAAATCTGTGCTAACATGCTTTCTTTTTCTATTTTATTGTAAGACTCCAGTATGTCTTCACCTCAGTGTTCTTTCTTTCATGTCAATTCTCTAGGAAAAATTCACAGACACCCAGAATTCTGCTTTTTTTAAAATACCCATGTACTTCCCAATTCAATCAAGTTGACAGTAAAGAATAACCATCACAAATATCTATAAAAACATTTTATTGCAATAAACATAGAATAATGCATACACTGGATATGTTATAAATAAATAAGATAAATGACTGCAAATTTTATTTTTTAATTTTGGGTCAAATTTTTACAAGAAATTAAAATAGTAAGATGTGATATTTAATAACACAATGAACAATAAAACACTAAACTGCTGTCAAATTAATATATAAAATTCAAGTAATTTTGAATTAATATTAAAAGTATTTAGTTCATAACTCATTAATTAACCTATGAAAATTAATGTTCACTAAAAACTTCATAATATATTAATGGAGTCAAAGGTTTTTGAACATTAACTTCTTAGAAATATTTTGTATTTCATTAATTACAGGGAGTACCACAAAAATATACCACAGAAAAAGAAAAACTTGCATGAATATTTTAGTTTTAAATTTATTGAGATTTCATGAAAATAACACATTACCTTTTACCTCCACAACTGCAAGAAGAGCTCACCATTAGCTTCCAGATACACATTAATGCAGTGAACTGCTGAGGTGTGAAGACATTTCTTTGGTAGTCCATATTTATGATTCCCACTGTTCCTTACTTAGTCTTAAAAGCTATCAATTTTGATAAATTCTAACATTTCATACTTTAATTAGTTATTATACTATTGTTGCTCATAAATTGATACATTACTTAACTGCCCTTAAGTAAGTTTTAGGTAGTGAGTTTATATATTGTATTTCTTGATATTAGAATACTTATATTTTCACAGTACAAATGGGATTATAGCTGATTTTCTGTGCATATATGAGTTGAACTTCTTCAGGTAAAATTTATGTTTCTTTTTTGCCCACAAAGCCATCTGAATACTCATCAGAAGTGTAAAAATTCCAGCTGGAAAAAGAAAGAAAGAATTGTCCTTTTTTGTATTCCTATGATGGATGTAAGATATATTAGGTGACATACTCCACATCAAAGTATTTCTCAAATATGGCATATGTTTCCATCTGATTTCTGATAATGCCTAGCATATTACATGTTTGCTCAATGTTCATTATACAGAAGAACAAATGTAAAAATACTTAGTAATATTCATTTTGAAAACCCTCTTGCCTCAAAATATTTTCAAAAGTGTTTTTACTCAACTGAACTATCCCAAATGTATATAATATTCCTGTATATAACATAAACATATACACATAAAATATGATAAGCAACACTGTGATTCAAATTTGTTATACAGTGGAACAACAAATGGATCAAATGAATGTAACATGTTTACCACTTAATACACACAGCTTATGTAATTTACGTTTCTAGTATGTGTTAAAAGGCCTGGTATTCAACATCCTACATTCATGTTCCCAGTTGACCTTGGCAGGTTGTCTTGGATAATTAACAAAATACATACACGTGCCTACATGCATGCATAGAAGATAGATTCATGTGAAATGAATTGCTACTACTTCTATTTAACAAAGTCTCATTGCTTAATAAATATATTTAAATAATATTTTCATGCTTGGATCAAGCACTAATTATACACAGTTAAGTAGCAACGTAATTCAATATTTTTAATACTGCTAAAAATCAGAATCAAATTAACACCATAGAAATCCTTATGCCAACACAAGTTAGTAGTAGAGTAACTTGTTCTCAGAGTTCAGTCCTCCCAACAGGGCATTCATTTTGAGTAAATGTCAGTAAACCGGCTCTTACCTGGTAGTGTTTGTGTCATGATTGTGAAACTAATCCATGATCCAATCTGTTATATTAAAACACAATTAACAAAAATTTTCACTCATTTTTTAGGTTTCGACTTTTGATAATTTAAAACATTTGCAAAGTTATGAGAAAATAAACTTTCAAAACTAGTAATTTAATTTTTGCATTCAATGGACAATAAACGTCCATAAAATAATACCATACTCATGAGTAACCAGAGAATATCATTTTAAAGACTAGAAAACTTAAATTTCTGAAAATTTTAAAAATATCTTACATGAAGATTGCAAAAAAATTCCTTAAAAGCAAATATATTTATGATCCCATATTTCTTTAATTTCAAAGTGAATTCTTTGTAAAATGTGCTATTTTCCTATGTCTGTAACTTGAATTGAATGTAGTTATATGTATAGATAAGACTAATGTGTTTTTTTTTGTCACATGTATGCTATTTTATAATACATGAAAAATCATGCAATACATTTAGTATATAATCTATACTTAAATTTATATTATTTATGTACATGAATCCCATACCTCATATGTGTAGTTTGGACATGAAACCAGCAGAAACATCCATGTGAAGGGGTTATAATTTGCACTTGGAAAGCAGGCATTATTTCCTTTAGAAAAGAGAGCAAAAGATCAGTGATATTACACATTGCAAATATGAACATATGCTTATTATAGAATCCTGAATTCCAATAACAACTATACACCACACAAAATGTCATGGGGTTTTTATAGCAACCTACTGCATAATTGCTCAGAAAGGACCCATTTAAAATGTTATGACCTTTGACTGAAAGAATACTTGTCATTTCTGAGGCATCTACAGCTCTCTTCCTATAAAATTGCATATCATATAAAGAAAATCATTTCTGAAAGTTTTAAAATAAAATAATATATATATATATATATATATTTATTTATTTCACGTATCATAATAAGTGCACCAATATCACAGACTGATTTACAAAATGTGCTTTGACAACTGCATACCTTTTCACATTCTCAGTGTGTCTATCACAAATTCTTTTTATTAAAAAAACTGAAATCTAAACAATATCACTTAGGTCAGAAGGATGTAAAAATCTCTTGGAAGAGTATTAAACTGAGTCAGTGTACCTAATAGTTAGAAGTACCCCACAAATTATTTCTGCTTAGCAATCAGGAGTGTTATTTACAACTCTCATTATATTTAACATATTGTTACGTGATTTTTGTTATTTTTCTCCCTGAAAAATTTTTTTCAAGAAACATTTTGGAAAATAAATTTATAATAATTTCAGGTTGAACTTTGAGACATGACATTTGTAGAGTAAATATGAATTATAAAATTACTGTTATATTCTCCCTAGCAAGATTTCATCAGATAACAAATCCACTAATCTCTTCTAGTTATAACTAAAGTCATAATGAAATGTCAGTGTGTTATTTTCAAAATTATAGCTCTGTTTGAAATATCAAGTAAAAAGTATATTAAGTACTATGCAGATTTCGTAACCTGCTTATTTCAAAATAAGGATAAACACATAACACCACTTGATACTAATGATTCTCTTATGATACTATGCAAACACCTGCGTGTGGGGATACCTATATATAAATTGAAAAAAAAGGTAATTGCGGAACCTACCCATATTATATTTATTGAATTTTAGAGCTGTAAGATGTACACAATATGACCTGAGTTTAGGCCTTGTAGTGAGCGATTAGAAGGAGAACAATTACATACAGGGCACATAACATATAGTATTATTTATAATGGTCACTCAAGGAGTCAAATACAAAAGGTGCAGGAAATCTGTCCACAAAATCCTGCCAAGGGTCTGGATCCCATGGCAGTAACCTTAATGAGTTCAGCTGAAAACCCAGAGCCCATGACAATGACCCATACAAGTCTATCCCAGGAAGAGTCAAAGGTCAGTGGTGGAAACTAGAAAGTGTATGCCAGTGGGGTGAAGGATCTGAGCCAGCAGGATGTGATTTGTGCAGACACCAAGAAACAATGCTCAAAATAAGGACCAAGGCTCCCCTGAATAGTACCACAGGCATCCTCAGCAATAGTGAGGTCCTGAGCTTCTCTTGACAATGAGAACATATCAGACAACCAGCATGAAACACTTCTCCTGGAAATTAAACAGAATATATCTTTCCCTCCAGAGCCAGGAAGTGATGCTCAAAGTAAGGACCAAAGCTCCCCCAAAATGCCACAGCCATTCTCCACTACAAGGTCCCGAGCTCCTCCAGTGATGACAGCTGAGTTCATATCAGGGGAGCCAGCATAAGCTCCTGTAGGAGAACCAGTGGCTCCAAACAGCAATACTTAGGATAACGCACAACACTGCTCTTCCTTTGTAGTCTCCTTTTAATGCTGGCCACAGTCCTCAGGTGGTCCATCCACACTCAGTACTATTCAGACTCAGTTCAGCTGGTGTTTAAGTTGACCACCAGCTACAGGTCTTTATGAGTTTTCAGCCCCTGGACCTGAGAATGAACAATTTCATCCAGATCTATATTAAATAGTGAATATGTCTTACAACCCAGAGAAATATTAATAAATGAATGATATTTTTAAATTGTGTATAGTTGCTATTAATTATAATATATAAATTTATGACATTATTTTAATGTTTACATTCTCCATGATGGGTTTACTGAGTCTATAGACATTACAATTGCGTTTCCATTAACTGAAAAGTTGAAATAATTTTTGCAGTAAGGTTCTACACTACCCAAATTCGTCATGGATCATAACTGGCATTTTCTTCTGGTTTCCAGTGCTGGCTGGAAAGTTTCACTCCAAGCTTTTCCGATAGGGATTTTCTGACTGACGTCAGCAACCAAAGTCAAGGTCGTAGTTATTTCTTGGTTTAACCTTATTTCAATATTTTATCAATACGGGAAATTTATGACCCTATTTGCAACATAGCATTGATTATTCATCCGAGCTTTGGCGTTTTCCATGTGTGTATTGCAGATGTTTAATTAGACTGTAGTGCTCTCATTTTCTTATCTAAACCCGATTTGTTTTTCCTCTTCATAAACTACCTTTGTAAGACTGTGAGCAGCAGCCACCATCTCAGCATTGATATACCAGTAAAACCCGATCTCGAGTGGGCAACAAGTCTGGCTCAAAGAACAGCTGCATGAATGAGGTTTTAGAGTTAAATACCATACTGGAGATCCAGGATTGGTAACTCTTTTTGCTGGAAGCTTCAAAATAACTAGCTGTGGGTACAATGTCGGTGAATACAATGTCGGTTCAAGCATGAAACCTCTTGCTAGTAGTGTACTGATAGGTTCTACTGGTGGAAGGGAAGATTTTACACTGTCCAGTATGAAGAGTGGCATTACATGGCAGTTTCTGAGATTGTACTTGACAGTGTTAGCTAAAACTGAAAGGGCGGTCAGCAATTAAGCGAAAGTTGAATGTGACCACTAAATGCACTCTTTGGAAGTAATAATTTAGTTTTTATTGTTTCATTTCATTTATTTTCTTGTATTTATTTATTTATTTTCGTTGCTTAGTGTTTGACTCAAGGTCTCGCTACGTACTTCAGGCTGGCCTTGGTCTCGATTATTTAACACAAGCTGGCCTTCAACGTGCAGTAATCCTCTTTCCTCAGTCTCTCCAGTGCTGCGATTACAGTAGCGTGCCTACTGTAGCATACAGATACTACTTGGAAGCACCTTAAAGAGGCTCCAACCATTTGCAATGAAAAGTCTGAAAACTGAAGACTAGGTCCATAACCTACTGAAAACTTAAGCTGCAAGAATATACAACTACTGTTCCAAGGTAAGGTCTAAATGTTGTTCAAAAATATCATAACATATAGATTTTCTTGAACTTCCCAATACCTGTTAAAACGGTTCTCTTTCCTGGCACTACAGAGACCATTATGCTATAAGAACAGATCTTTCCCTTCTCCACTCAAAGTTTTTAACTTTTAGTCAGGTTCATGTTACTCTCTAACCTTCCTGAGGTGTTTTTCAGGGATAAATAATAGAAAAAGAGATTATACTACAGAAGATATGAAAGACCTAGCCAACATGATAATAGAATATGCATGTTATTGGATTCTCAATGTGCTTGATAAGAGGAAAAAATACTTGATTGGATAAAAGTAGGTTTCTGATTTTAAAGTTCTATCTTGATTCATGAGATTAAATATCCTGGTAGAAATACAGTGCCCAGAACACATACAAAGAAATGGCACTGGGTAACAAAGAATAAATGTTAGACTTTCAATGACAGGCAAGTAAAGAAGGAATTCAGAGATTAGAGAAATAGGAAATGGTGTGGTGGGATAGGTTTTCTAGGGCATATTTTCTATGAAAGCCTGAAGAGCCCCTTTCTAAATGATTTCCTCGTGTGCCTCATTCTCATGATCTTTTCCGTGCTCCAGGGGTGGGTCTGTAGCATGCACTTTTTCCTTTAGCTTTCTGGAATTTATTAGTGAGAAAGGTGCATCCTCAGTGTGAGTAATGTTGGCCCTTTGCTGTATCTGGCTGACTCTCACTCACATAAGTCATTTTAGAACTGAGATAATGAGAAGTGATTTGGATAAGAGGATTTCTCCTCTTCCTCCAAAATGAAGCCAGTTTGAGTTACAATATGGACAGCCATATGCCATCATGAGAAATTCTGGAGGGGGCTTGACCCACACAAATTTATGACTGGCTATCTAATACAGTGTCCATAAAGGATTAATAAATGAATACCTAGCATTGAATTCCAATAAAATATTTATAGATCAACAGTCAAGAAACTGGGAGAGACTAATACAATATAAAGTTAATTATACATTTCCCAGTTTTTAGGGTTAAATAAATCATAAGAGTCAACCCACAGATGGAAAATAGTCTGGAATCTGAGAAAAAAAACAAACATTGCAACAACAAAACAAGTGTAAGCATCATTGCCTAATCATTCATTAAAGAACCTCACTAAATTAACTGTTGTCGTTTATTTTGGACATTGATTATCTATATGATATAGAATATAAATTAACCCTACATTTTGAAAACATTTGCAAAAATTAACTCCTGCAGGTGCAAACTGGACTTTTTTAACAGATCATAATAGCTTCAAAAGCTCACATGGTTGTGATTTTATGGTGTGTTTATCAGTAGCTATGGCAATGGGAAAAGTCCTTGCACATCTCTGAGCTAGCCCAGTTCCGATGTAAGACAATATTGTACCTATGGAGAGATAATGGTCACACTCAAGATCTAAAGTATGCTTGGGAAAAATGTTCTCCATTATTTCACTTTTAATTTATTACTATAGTTCTTTAAAAAGCCAGATGTAAACTGGGGGGTCATTAAAATATTGCAAATTGATCAAGAATTGTCTACCACTGCAACTAATCAACATTTTTGGAAATTTTCCTAAAGAAGATTAGCTCAGCATTAGGCAAACAGTTTACAAATGCGATTTTCCATCTCTGTAGCAAAGGAGGACCAAGGGAGCTTTATTTTCCTTAGAATGAATGATGTACACTATTTTTATTAGTACATGTTTGCAGTACATAGTAATTACATTTATCATGAGGAACTGATAATATATATAATTATTTTTTTCATTCTCCAATTCTCCCCAGAGTACATTTATAATATTGTTCTGTGGGGCTACTTTAATGGACTTCATAAAATGCCTCAAGGTAATCTGTATTGATTAAGAATCTCACTGAAAATCCACTGGCTGCATTGATTTTATGTTTTTATGCTGTATAAGTAGAAGTGGCAGCACCTGAATGCCTTATCAGATGTGTCTGGTCCAGGACTGGGGTTGGGAGTTAAGAAACACCACCAAGATTTAGGAGTCATGCACAAAAACCTTTAATTGTGAAACATCTCTTCCAAAATGAGAACACACTGCAATTTCTATCACCCACAACAGAAAGAAGAATTAAGAAAGAAAGTTTGTAGGCCTAACTCTAGTTATGAAATTTTCATATTATACACCAGGCAAATCTGGCTTGAGTCATACACCACATAGGAGAAATGTGCAGCATTTTAGTATCACTCCAGGCAGACAATTGAAGGAGGCTCAGGTTTTAGTACAGGTAATCCTGCAACTGAACCTTGTGATAGGCAGAGTCCACATATTAAATCTGTCTGCAGTAGGAAAAGACAATATGCAATGCTATTCACAAGTCCAAAATGATTATCACAATGATGAATGACATTTGAGAACAAGGACACTCCGCTTGTAATGGAGAACAACATCTGATTGAGAAAAGACGTTTAAAATACAGAATCCTGATAAAGGTGAAGACCATTTTCAACAGATTCCATATGACCGTGCAGCCATAATTGGGCATCATGACTTACCTTATACAGATAGAATCAAAGTTATTGGGTCCAGAAATGATGCATTTATAAAGGAAATTTTATATCTAAAATCAAACATAAGTAAGATAACAATGTACCAGAAATTTTGTTAGTAGGTTTCCAGACACCTATGCCACACTCTACTGTGGAATCAATGTGTGTGTTTCAATCTGAACATTTTCCCAACTCTCCTTTAAGACGAAATCCAACACTGAGATGGTTGAGCTCAGTTCCGAGAAGAATTGATTGGTATATGGATATAAAACAAAAGCTAAATAAGCTACATGGCCCCTTTATAAGCACATGTAGTTAAATGTTTCTAACTATTGTTACTTACACTTTATACAAGCCTGATGAGGGGACTTTTAATTATCAAAATTGTCTAGAAAACAATGAAAAGAAAAATAAACTAACCTGTGTGATTCGGGTGAGCCAATATTACATTGATGAAATGATTCCCAGCTTCACAAATCTACAAAATATATTAAAACTCTTCAGTATGATATAGCCGTGGCCATTTTAAAATTTTATTGTACATATACATATTGTCCATGTGATACATTGATTATAAATGCAAGACATATTTTATTTTAAGAAGAGGAAATTTTATAACAATGCAAGATGTTGTTGAATCCAATATAAGTATATACAACTAGTTTTGTCTTTTTTTATTTTCTCAGTATCGGGGTTCAAACGTAAGAGACCTCTCAGGTAACAACACTTAATGGTTTTTATTATTTTATGGATCTCAATAACTTACTGCAGCTATTCTCAAAATTGAGAGCCTCAGTACGTCAAGTAGCAGGATCCCAAAGACTGCTACAGCCATGACACCCATCTGTTTCCAATTCCAGTGACATTCTTAATCCATGTTGCTAACAGGCTCAAATTGCCTGAACGATGAAACAGTGCTGATGATCTGCTTTGTACTTGTCCCTCTGCATGGGCTTTCCTTACCATGAGGAGATGGCGAATGTTGCTGAAGACAGAATTCATACAAGTGTGTATTCTCAGGTCATTAACGCAGTAGAAATATTCCCAGTGCAAGGTGCTTGCTTGCTTCTGAGGTGCTTTCAGCTTAGTTGGAAGACCTCCTGTGAGCAGTGCTTGCTTACGGATGCATTTACTGCTTGTCTGGCATCTGCCCTCTTTTTCTAAGTAAACCAAGAGTTATCACAGGCTCTTGGAACCAATAATATTCCCACATTGTATTGTGTCCTCTTTGAAGTTAAGATCCTTCCATTGTCTGACATATTTGCCTTAGCTGATACAACACAAATTATGTGTTCAAAAAGAAATACTTCGTTATTTGTAACAGATTAGTTTGTGCAAATGTTTTTAGTCAGTTAATTTTCTATCTCTAGTGTATTCCCAGTGTTGAGCATAATTGTAAACCAGTGTCTAATGTTTTATTCTCTTAGGTAATGTTCTTACTGTCTTTTCAACTGTTTCTTAACACATTTATTTCTTCAAATACAGTAGCAGCTCCACAGAAATTAATTTCTGTGTAACTCGCACAAAATAACTTTGCTATATTTCAGTGATATCAAAGTTTGGGAAAAATAAATTGAAAATGAAATTAAAAATCTATTTCCCATTATCTGTTATACAAAATGCAAATTGGGCTAATCAGCTTAAATAGGTTAATTCTCTGGTGAGATACTGTTAAATAGTGCAAATACACTCAAACAATGTTTGAAGATCTAGAAAATAATCTATTAATTTCATACAAAAATAATCACACAAAATAACTGTAAAACTTTTCAGTTTCTTATGCTATAATGAAGTCAAAGCTAACTTTTGAATGTTCAGATAATAATTTGTATTTTTTAATTTACAAATTATGGGTTCAAATGTATGATTTTGATTCTACTGACTTGTGATTTCATGCCACAACTTTTATGTAATTGTTGTGAAATAATAAGCAAGTGAATTACAATTATGAAATTTTGTTTTTTCATCTAGATAAAATATTAACTTTTAACTCTATAGAATTGTATGATGATTAAATGAATTCAAGTATCTGGTTCATTTTACTTCCTCAATAAAACAGTGACAATTTTAGTTAGGAATGTAAGCAATAAAGATTTGATCTATTTCACTTAGTGTTTTTTGAATTATAGCTGACGACTAGTTACTAAAACCCATGATTTTATCTTGGAATATCATCATATGGATAAAAGTGAAATATTACATTAGCAGTAAATATACATGAAAAAAATCATAATGTTCCCACCTAAAAATTACCTTTTTAAACACATTTTCAATTAGAAAGGGAACAAAAACACATTTACCTCTTTTCTCAAAGTTCTGTGATACTTTGATTTTAACCAACGTTACTAAATATTCAAGAACGGACAAATTAGTTGTCAAATGAACAGGTTCAGGAAAGACGGTGGCTAATTTTTGGAAATAATATAGCATATGTTAGTGTGCTATAAAATTTATTTGAATATATCTCCTGTTCAATCTGATTTTAGTCAGATTGAAAAACACAATTGGATCAAAACATGAGATTTCGGTAGTAAAGATTCTTACTGTTTACTACTGGATATTGGATTGTTCCATAGTATGCTATAATTGTAGACTCCAATGACCAATAATCAATGACAAGGACCAACAAAGCTCAAGGGAGACAAACTTACAATGATGTATTTTTATATCAGTTGTATAAAGTGTTGTTCTTCCTTACAACCTCATCATGTTAAACTATTTCTTCTTTAAACTTCTGGAAATGGTTTCTCTGAAGAACCAAGTCCAAAGTTCAAGGATTATATTAAAGAATGTGTAGCCACTGAATAGTTAGGGTTTGTGTTTTTGTTTTGGAAATGCTATGGGCTTCCACAATAAACAATATTTAATCCTTAACAGGTGTGGTGGACACGCCTATAATTCCAGCACTCAGGAGGCTGAGGAGAATGATCACTGAGTGTTCCAGACCAGCCTGGGCTACAAAGCAAGCTCAAGGCCAACCTGAACTGCAAAGTGAAATTTTCATGAAAAGACAAAAAATTTTAATTCTTATAGTGCAATAAGGTAATATTTTATAGAAATTAAAATTATACTTTCATCAATAATTATGAATGTTCTCACATTGTACATGTTTGTCCCATAATACTCATCCTTGTACTGACTTCCACTCTCTGTACACCCTTCCTGCTCTCTAATAATTATCTCTCTTTTACTTTTTTGTCATTTTTGATGTTTGAATATTTATTTGATATTTAAATGCTAATGAGTAATGCTCCAGAGCACAGTAATAATAACATGGTACACTGATTTCCATTGCTGTTTTGTTTGGGGGATTGAGTATTTTACTTAATCTCAGCATTTATCAATGTTCTTGGTTTTGTTGAGAAACTTTGAAAATCTTAATTATTGAAAATAAAATCACAGTGGGAACATTAGACTTGGTAAAACGTGAATTAGCAGTAAAACATTACAATAAATGCAAAACAAGTAAAAGCTTCACCCATTGTTTTCTCCTCCGCAATCTCACTGGCCTCACCCTATTTTCCCCTGTACAGTTTGGGGGAAGATTTCAGTTTAAATATTTTGCTCCTCTCTATCCCCCATTACCTGTGCTGACATCTCATCCCCTTTTCTTTTTGCTCCCTCTTTTGTCTAATAGCTACCTTTCTGTAGTTTTGCCATCTTTTTTGATTCCACAAAGGAGAGTGAACATGTAATATTTGTCTTTTTGAGTCTTGCTTGTTTTGTTGAAAATGAAGGTTGCCATTTCCATCTATTTTTCTGCAAATGATAGAATTTTGTTGTTTACAGCTGCACCATGCTCCCATCATATGTATACACCACAGTTTCTTTTTACAGATTCGTTTGATGGCGGGCATCTAGATGGTTCCATGTCTTGGCAATTGTGAATCACGTCACAACAACTACAAGTAAGCAATGGTGCTTTATTATGGTTATTTTAATTGAGGGTATACCAACGAGTGCTATACTCCTCTGTAGGTCTATTTTTAGTTTTTAAGGGATTTTCAAATTGATTTTCATAGTAACTGTGCTAATTTATGTTCCAGCCAGCAGTTTAGAATGGTTCCCCCTCCAAAACCCTCGCATCCTTACAGCATTTAAATTTTATTTTTGATATTCTTAATGATCAGTATTCTGTAGGGTAAGGTAGAATTTCAGTGTAATTTTTCATTTGCTTGTAACTAATCACTAAAAGTGTTGAACATTTTCTCATACTTGTACGGACCATATATACTTCTTTTGAGAAGGGTCTCTTCAGTTCATTTGTCCCTTTACTCATTTCGGTGTTTCACCTTTTGGTGTTAGTTTCTAATTTTTTTTACCTTCTAGGAATTAATCCTGTGTTAGAAAAGAAACTGCCAAAGATTTTCTCTCATTCTGTAGACTGCTCCTTCATTTTGTTCCTGGTTTAGTTTGACATAGTCTAGGTGTTGATTTCAGCTGTTATTTCCTGGGCTATGCGGATCCTTTTCCGGAAGTCTTTGCCTATACCCATGACTTCAAGTATTTCCTCTGTCTCTTCTTGTAGGAGGTTCAGAATTTCACATTTTATACCTAGATAGTTCATTGATTTTGAATTATTTTTGTATGCAGTGAGAGAGGGATCTAGTTTTCCTTTTCTTCAAGTGAATATCATGTTTTCCCAGCATTATTTGTCAATGAGATTGTCCTTTTGCCAGTGTGTATTTTGAGCTTCTTTGTCTAATATCAGATGGTTGCAGTCCTATGGGTTGTTTCATTGGCTGCATGCTTATCTTTATCCCTGTAACAGGCTAATTTTGTTACAGCAACTTTGAAAGATAATTTTAAACTGGGTATTGTGATGTTTCAAGTCTTAGTCATTCTGCTTAAGATTATGTTGCCAACTTTCCTGTTTTCATATGAAACTTGAGGATTCCTTTTCCCTAATTATGTGAAACAATATGTCACTGGGGACTGATGGGGATTACATTGAATCTGTAGATTGCTCTTGATACTATGACCTTTCTAATAATATAAATTCTGCCAGAACAATAACATGGAAGAATTTTCCATAGTCTACTTTTTTCTTTAATTTCTTCAATGTTCTGTAATTTTCATTGTAGAAGCGTTTCACCACCTTGATTAAGTTGATGCTAGGAATTTTATTGCATGTTACAAGCTATTATGAATTGACTTGTTTTCTTGACATTTTTCTCATCTAATCCACCGTTGGTGTACAGCAAAGCTATTGATTTTTTAATGTTGATTTTATAGCCTGCTACTTTGTTGAGTTAATTTAAGCAGCTCAAAAACAGTGTGTGGTGGAATCTTTAGAGTTTTGAAGTATCGAGAAAAAGGATAATCTTACCTTTCCCTTCCCTGTTTGGTTCCTTCATTTTTTTTTTTTTTTTTTAGTCTTATTTTATTGTGGTAAAATTTCGAGAACTATATCGAACAAACTTGTGAGAGCGGACAATTTCTAACAGTGTGATGGGTTACGTATTCCTTGTATTAGGCAGTGGAATACAAGTCTTTCAGTGAAACTGCTCACAGAAGATGAAGTTGTGTGTGACTCACCTGAGGTTCAGGTATGTAAAGAAGACTCATGGGAGAACTGCTTTAACAAAGGACGGAGCATCAAGTCGCATTGTGTGTCAGTGTTTAGTAAAATGGTATTGTCAAAAGAACAAGTGAGAGCAATTTGGAAAGAGACAAGACCCTGGGATTCATCTCTAGCACCATATTAATAAATAAAATAAAATACAACATTCAAAATTTCTCTTTCCATTGAATTGCTTAACAATTGTGTTAACAAGGTTTTTGGATTCCTGTTACACATGTAAAACAAGGTTTTTTTCTCATAGAATCTTATAAGCTGGAAAAATTATTGGCTGTGTGTTTATAGATATGTATTACAGTTCAAAAGACTATCTATAGAGCCATCCATAGATAGCTATGACATTTTGATTAAAAGATTTGAAGATTCAATGTTGTGTTTACAGGAAAGTACTTAATAACAGTTTTTAATAACATTCAATAAAATTTTTGAAGGCCAGTAGCATGACATTAGATTATTTGATTTGCTTTTTTTTTTACAGAATTAAAAAGACATAGAATGTTTTATATGGAAAATGCTTAAAATAAAATTTATTTTTATTCTCAAAAACAAAATTAGTGTATGCATAATAAATAATGCATATGATACATACCAGGAAATTGATAGCAGATACAGTTATTTGTCTGTTTCCAAATGCTAGAGAGTAAAAAAAGAAAATGTTATGCAAATAATTGTATTTTGAATTGTTGCACTATCCATATAATTCAATTTTTACTGTACGTACCTGCTCTTTAATTGATAGTGATCTGAAGTATATAATTGATCTTTTTTTAGAACAGAATATATTTATTGAGAGAAAGAAAGTTTCTGTCTGAGAGAGAGACAGAAGGGGTCCAGAGTGGATTGCCCTCTAACTTTTGAAATGGTACTTTTGCAATCTAAAGTGCAGAAAATATTTTTGCTCTCCACTTACATTTTTCTAATAGGTGCGTTTTTCTAATAGATCTAAGATTTTTAATAGATATCATTTGGAATGGAATGGATAGGATATATAATTAATGTATTAAACTTTTTATAGTTAGACTTTTTCTCTTTCATTTATTTTTAAAACAAATAGTATGGCTGATTACAGGAAAGCACCCCATAACACCTCTTTGAAATGTTTAACAACTTAAAAAAATCTAAAAAAAATGTATATTTCTTAGCAATTTTAAATTAAATTACTCAATTTTGATGTTAACACAGGCACTAGTTTAAGTGCTTTATAATAAAGATAAATACATGAAATACTAAATGTAGTTATTCAAATTCCCACAATCACATAAAGACTAATGAGCAAAGTAAAATAATATCCTCAATATACCTTTCACATGACGGAAAAGTTAAAATACAATATTCTGAGCATTATGAATGGAATGATTTAATATGATCAACATACGTTGAGTTTTTAATTCTTTGTGTGCATGCATGGAGATTATTATATTTATTTAAAAACAGAAATAAATTAACATTTGTCATTTTGAAAGTTTCATTAAATAAAAATATATTAAAGACTTTCTCAATGCTTTGAAACACTCATCATAACTATGACAGAATCAATTATTTGACTGGCTCTTAAAACATTAATTGTTAACCATTTTCTGTATAATCAGTAGGGAAAATGTATATAAAACATTGTTTATAAGATCTGAGAATTTAAATGAACATTTAAAGATTGAAAATTATTTCATGTATGATAAAATAATAATGCATTGAGTGTCTTATCAATTAAACTTTCACAGAAGTTTTGTTTCATTTTATTAGAAAAGAGAAAGTGTGTTTTAGTCAAAGTAACACATAAAAAAGACTGCATGGATGCATATATTATAAGATACATACAATAAATGTACATAGACTAGTAGGTTGTTTATACAGTGTACTTAGATCCAATTTTTAAAAGAAATACAAGATGGGAGATATTTGGGGAAATTAAATACATACAGAAAGAAAGTACAGTAAGTAAAATTCCCACCAGTCATTAAAATCAGTCATAATTCTGATTTCTTTTAAGATGTACATTTCTTGTATATTTTTATAATATTTAAAGTAACAATTTTGTAAATTTCTTTACATTACATGTTTTCCTTAAAGACTGACCTTTTGTAAAATATAATATTTGGAAGGTATTTATTTCTATCTACCATTATTATTTTATTTATACATATTATTTGACCAAATTTCACTTACTTACCAATAGTGATTAAAAATTCAAATGGCAAACACTACACTAGAATGGTTTTAATAAATTAAATACAAAACCAAATATAATCTTAGTGTAATTGAACTAAAAGCCAGCCTGACAAGTGCACAGTCAATTTCAGATTCCATTCCTGGTAAAATCAAACTTGCATTGTAATTGACAAGAAGATGTATCAAAGGATAGCAAATTATAGTTTAGGACCCTAAGTGCTACCAAAAGGAATTGTGTATTAATTAACTCTAAAACTGAAATAAAGGACTTGCAATAAGTGCGATCAGAAAGATCATAGGTTTGATGTCCAGAATTGAAAAAATAATATTTTGGTTAACAAAAATAATCTATGAGGGCCACAAATACAGCTTAGCAGCATAGTGACTGCCTGGTAAATACAAGGTCATAAGTTCAATTCCTGATAAAAAAAATGAATTGGCAATCATTCTTTGATTTTAGGCATATGCATTATAGATTGTAATAATGTTATGTTCTCACCATTGATTACTTTTCAATGCAATAATTATTTTACCTTTAAATTTCATTCAAATGGAAAATAGCTTGTGTGTTGGGAGGTGTATCCTTTACATTTTTCATTCATAAGATAACATGTTAACATACAGGTGCTATTAATCATTCCAAATTAAGTTTATTGAAAAAGGGTGGTGATGAGGATCATGAAATTGTCAGGACTAAAACAGAGATTAAAGAAAGAAGACTAAAAACAAATCCAATTGATAGAGAGGGAAAAGAATAAGAACAAAACCTAGGATAGCATGTACAAAACATAAAAGTTAAAAATCCCAAATGTAAGAAATACTATCTCAAATGAAATACATGAATATGTAACTGAAATAACATATGTAATGTGCAGTCATGTACTGGAAAATAAGCCCAAAATGTAACCACATGTAAAATCCAGATGAATTTTTTATTTTCCAGTTTTAAGTACATGAGCTTAATACTGAACCTACTACAGTGAAATATACTTAAAAAATTTTTGGACTTGTTACTTACAATGCTACACAGAATTATAATTGCATTGTTGAAAACAGCTTTTATGAGTTCTATTTCCAGTTACATTGTTGTGGTTTGTTCTGTCATTAATTGTTTTTTTTTTTTTGTTTTTTGTTTTTTGTTTTTTGTTTTTTGTTTTTTTTTTTTTTTGCTTTTAACTCAATAGTTATTTAGGAGTGATTTTTCAGTTTCTAGTTTGAATTTTATGGGGAATTTTGTTTTTTAAGTTGTTTGTACTTACGTTGTACTTTTAAATTCTTATATCATTTACAGATAATGTACTTTAGACTCTGCTTTGCTGTACCATTAAATTTTCATGATCTAATATATGATCCATGTTTTCTGAATTTAATATTTATTAATTCTAATCAAAGAGTACAAAAGGATAAGGGAACTTTTCAACAGTCAGGAAAAGATAATAAATTTAATGGGAGATCATTTTTAGCATAAATACAAAAAATGAATTCAAAATCATAAAATCTAATACATGACATGCAGTTCAGATATTAGAGGACTTTGTAATGTGGACTAATTTTGCTAGTTAATTTGATCTCATGTCTCTATAAATTTAATAAATAGGAACCTCTATTACCTGGATCAAAACTCAAGAACAAATTTATGTAGTTCATTACTTTGTTTGTTGTTGCTGTTCTATAATAATGTGTATCCTTTCTCAGGTTATCACTTTCTTGGTCTAAACTATGGATTCTGTACAGGTTATTAGCTGAGTAGAAGTGGAAATATAGCTATAGTAGTATCAGTCAAATGGAGACATGCTTGGTACTTTTTTTCTTTCTTTTCCTTTTCTTCCTTTCTTTTTTTTTTTTTTTTTTTTTTTTTTTTTTTTTTTTTTTTTTTGAGGCCAGGTCCCCCTATATAGTATAGGCAAGCCTTGAACTCACTATGTAGCCTAGGCTGGCCTCAGATTCACAGAAATCTTCCTGACTCGATCTCTTGAGTACTGTGACTACAGATGTGAGGCATCTCTCCTGACACTAATAATGATACATTTTCTTAATGATTTGAAGTGATAAAATGTTGCTTTGCATGGTGACCACAACACAGGCTGTCCTGATAATATTTAATTTATAGTTGCTTTACTGGGTGAATGAAGGAAAGTTATCCTACCACGTGCTGTTTACACAGTGACACCCTCCACTGCTCCTATTCACATGTCTTGCTGCAGACGGCACAGACTCACAGAAACGTGCTCGTCAGTTCTTCCCTAGTCTTCATGCAACGTCATGAGCTGGACATTATGTTCCTTTGTGGTTACAGAAATATATGTGCTAAAGGCACACTGGCTGCTGGCAGAATACTATGCTAAATCCAATAAAAACCACATCAGTAGTCTGAATTTAAGTCTTACGGGTGTCTTTTCTTCTATTGTGCACAGCACAATCCCAGGTTAGATGTTCTGCGAGTATTGGTTGAATAGAGGAATCAATGCCTGACTCAATTCATGTTATATTACATTGTAATAACCCTTTATGTTCTTGGAGGGTGGAATCTTGTTTTCATCAGTAATTTTTCCCCTATGGGAAATCACGCGGACTGAGCTTCACACATTTGTGAATCACACGTGGAAGTAACTGAAATTTGAACCATGGTAAAGGGAATAGGTATTATTTAAGTGAGCTATAATAACGGAAATTTACATACAGTTGAAAAATGCATAACGGACTCCCTATACCAGATTATTTCCTCTTAGAGGAAACATGGTAATTTCCTGCTTTCAAGGTATTTGAACCCTTAGCTTGATACATTTAAGGTTCACAAGCACAGTGAAATTACCTTTAGAGGTTTTTCCCCCTCAGCTATAAGGGTGATATTAAGACATTATTTTCTAAGATCAAAAAGAGCCATTTTACAATTTTAGCAAATACCATGTTTAATAAATGGTTTAAGTCAATCTATTATTATTTGGTATGCAATGTGTTATATTTCTCACACAGGATCCTCTTATTAACATAGTTTGGAACAAATGTATTTCTTCCATAGTTAACTACATTGTGTTGTAAAATATTTAAAACATCAATTACCTGAAAATAGGAATCTTTCCTCTTCAACATTAACATTAATGTTAAAATTTTAAACTTTGTAATTTATTTGTCTTCGCAGACTCAGCTTAGTTCATTGAATGCATGTAAGACCCTGAATAACTAGCAATACTTCAGCACAAAAACAAAAACAAATCCTAGACCAGAGTGTTATTTTCTTAAACTAACATTAAGCTGGAATATATCATTCACTTCCATTTATTGTACAGTTCACAAATACCAGAAATAAACACAAAAATAATGTCTATGAAATGGGAAAGCATTTCATTCATGGGCTCTGATTTGTGCACTTCAAGGAAGACTGTAAAAGCTTAGAAAGGAAATTTGCACCTGAAATAAAGAAACAGAGATCCTTGATGGAGATAGGCCTGCTTTCTTGAGGACAGGAAGTCAGGACTTGGGAGAGACCTGCTGCATTTCCTGCACATTGCTAGTCTGAGTCAGGGGAAATCAGAAACTCAATAAATCCAGTTGGATAGGAACCAATAAGTTACGGGGAAAATTACCTGTTTATTCTCAGCGAATCATGTTTAAAATAACAATTAAATATTTTTGCTATTGACTTTTAAAACAGCTGACAACTGGTTAATTGTGTATAAATGTATAATTATAATTTTTATTTTAGTATTTGCAGTTCAGTTTTATTATATTTTCTTTTTAAGTTTTATGTTCAACTAATAAATTTGCTAGATTTCCTACATAAATTAAGATTCAACGTATATCAGTCAAATTTAGTATTTTCAGTCTATATAAAGGTATAATGGGTTATAATATGGAAGCAGTTTAATATTGGCATTTTTATCAATTGTTACTTTAAGGATGCCAGTTCGTTCTGTTTATATTGATTTAATGCAGAATATTGAGTTTGTAATTTAGTGTTGGGTTAGTTGTGAAGAAACTCTACTTACATGGTGGGGTGTAATGCGGGTGATTAATGTAGTAGGCAATCCAAGAAGTGAAACCCCAATATAATGCACAACTCTAAAATTTAAACACAACAAAATGAAAGTTATGAAAGACGTAATTCAATACGACCATATACATTAATTTCACGAATTGCAATCTGTTTGGATGACTATGCTGGATAAAAAGAATACTTCTATCCCTAGTAATATAGCATTTTAAAATTACCTTTTGAATGTTAGTAAAAATTACGTTACTATTCTCTACTCTTATATTAATGGATATTCAGGCCCAAGGCTACATGTACTCTTATATTTTAGATTTTCTAAAATGGCTTTGTCAATTAAGTAAATATATGAAAAAATAAAAATAATAATTGATTCCCTGTGTTATATATTCTAAAAGTAAGTGACTAAAAATGAAATTCTTAATCACTAGTGGTAACGTATTTCAATTTATTAGAAAAAGAAATGTGTTAAGATTTAAGAGTCTCAGGTGATAGCATTCTCATCTTACTAGAATTTATGCAATATTTTCATCAAAAAAGAAAGTTTTCTAAATAATTTCTGAGGTACTAGCAGTCTATTTTATTTCATGACAATAGAATAATGGCTTTCTTGGAACTTTATAAAAAAGTAGATAACTGCCAAAACTGAGAATTTTTTGTAATGGTATATATTTTTTTTGAAAATAAACTTTAACTTGAACATTATTTTATACTCGAATTGAAAACTGAAGTAAAATATATTGTCTGAAATACATTTCCAAATAATTTTGCATTTTCCATAGGCAGTGGAATGCTGAAAACTGTTTTTTGGAAGAGCAAATACTCTGGCATTACACTGTGGGATACAATATCTGTACTTTAATCACATAGATGTCTATTTCAGGGTTATGAATATGTGAGGTTCATCCTTTTTAAGTAGCACATAAGGAACCTGAATTCATTGCTAAGTATCCCCTAAAGAAAACCCACTGCTTAACGTATTTACTTTCTACCACAGTGCCACAGACATACTCTGTGAACTTACCATTTGGGGGCAGGTCCAAAGAAATAGTCAATTTCAGGAGCACAAGAATAATTAATTAATAATTAAGCCTGACACAGCTACACAAAAATTCTAGTGTAGGGGGCAAAAACATAACTTAATGTTTTCAAATGATCTAACATATATAACTTATCAATAAAATAAAGTATAAAATGCATTAACTCTCACCTTTAGCAAATTTTTCAAAGGTGTACGACCTGCAGAAACTTTGTGAACAAATAAAGTTTCCAAAATATACCGGATGTAGTGTATGCAATGACACAGGCAAGCCAAACTGGAAAAAAGGAAATTAAATGTCAATTTTGAATGCCATCTGACTTCTGGCTTGCTTAATGGATGAGATATTTAAATATTTTATTAATATAAAATGTTCTTTTAGAACATATTACTCCTGTTAATCAAATAAAACTGTTTCATATTTTAACTACAAATTTAAAAATTTTATTTAATAATGAATGGCATCTGAGACTGTAAATTTATTTATGATGATACAGAAATAATGTATTACATCATTCATAAACTGTTATGCTCACACCTGCCTCAGGGGTAGGCCTAAATATACTAATTGCAGTTCACTTCAAAATGCCTCAAGATTAAAGCATATAACTTACAAGTTTTTAAAAAATCCAAATGCTACTTATGAAGCATTTGACATTTTAAAATATACAGAGTAACTTCTTAATTGTCTGATTGGCCTTTAGCAGGTACTAAGATTGTAAATGAATTTCATTTTCTATGCACTCATAATGCACCATTTGGTTTTTATTAGTTTGTGCTTTGCTTTTCTTCTGTCTTATAGCATTTTATCTCTTTGTTTGTCATTACGTTCTAAGGTCATACCTTATCTTGCCATTTCTGCATAATGACTTAAAAATAAGTGTCAAATCTGATTTATAGTGATATAGTTTTCATTAACATCTATATTTACTGTTATAAGGAAATGATAAAAATCTCAAAGCCTGTTTCACTATTATTAAAATTAATATGAACTCAAATGACATACTTTAATTGATTGAGCCCAAAAAGTATGCAACTTACTATATGTAAAAATGGATATTGAGTTTATCAGGCTGAGAATTTATTTTACCCAAAATGTATTAGTGATTTTTGGAAGCAATGACTTTAGTAACAATACAACACTAATTTGGTAAATCATCAACAAGTCTATCATTATTTATTCTTTTATGAAATATAAGCACATACATATTATGTATTATACAGGTTCTATGTCCTCAAAGAACTAATGTGTATATTTACAATTAATAAATTCTGAGAAAGGTAAAATATCAAGCAGGATGGGTTTCAGGGTCTGCTTAGCCTTCTAGGAAACAGGAAAAGAAAATGCAAAGCTTCTAATATAAACAATGTGACTTTTAAATTTCGTGGGCTGGTGGAAGAATTGATATCTCACCCTTTTTTGTTTCTCTTGTGGAAGCAGTTATGAAAAATTCCAATTAATATAAATTAACTATTTGTAAGAAAATTAGGAATTTAGGTTAATCCTAGCAAAAATACCAAAATTTAAGTAGGAAATTCTGGCTCAAGCTAAGATACTTCAAAATTAGAAAATTTGTTTGTGTTATATTTTTCCCCAAGGGCACCGAGATCAACATAGCACAGCAACCCCAGTTTTCCAGGTGATTAGCTGAGTGCCACGGGGCACAGTACTGGTTCCCAACAAGTTTCACCAATATTAATATTCGTCATTCTCCAATATTAATATTCTTCAAAATTATGTTTGCCTTTCTGCCAAACACTTTATCTCTTTCTCCATTGCTAATCTAACTGTAAGTTCATAAATTGGCTTAGGTCCAACAGGTTTTGTTTCAATCATAATAGTTGAAAATTTCATATATTTTATTATTTAAGGTTCCAGAAATAAGAGCTATGAAGTGAACCACAACTTCAGCTTTACACAGCTGGGAGGAAAGGAGTGCACCAAGTTTCATTTGAAGAAAAGAAAGGAAACATTTAGGTAATAAGTTTATGTTTAAAAAAAACAATGGATCTAGAGGTTCTGGAGTAGATATTTCCACAAAGAACTAAATAAATCTGTGGCACTGAGTCACATACAGGTATTTGAAATTTGCATCATCTTAGTAAAAATGTACTTTCGGTCCATTGTTAATGGGATGTACCTATAATAATACTAGTGCCCGGGAGGCTGAAGCATGAAGATAACACTAAGTTTGCACCATATATATGACTCTGATATAAGTAAAAATGATTCTGTAAACAACATTTGAGTATGAGGTCACATGTTTTGGTATTTGAAACCTTATTGAATAATGACCCTTGAAATTGGAGATCTATAGAACCTTAAAATTATTTCTATAAACATTTGCTCAATTTCAAAAGTAGTTCATGCATACCTCTCTGAAGTAACTGAATATAATGATAACTTATTTGCTCTTTTGGAAAACTTTGGCATCACTACTTTCTACTAAGCATGTGTTAAGGTTAGAAACCACATTCAGGCAATACTTTTCAGGATGCAGCTAACAAGATTCCTTTTTCATTCTGTGATACATGTTATGAGTTTTTTTTAATTACATTTTGCTTTCAAGTTCTCAACCTTATGGTGTTTCTAAATGAACCAAATGTCTCTGTTCACTTAACAAAAAGAGAGGTTAGTATTGTGAATGCTTGCTGAGAGCCAAAATCTCCTCCCCTCTCTGCCAGGCCACTCTAGCCTTCTTTCTGCTCCTGTGATTTTTTACTACCTTACTTTGTACCACAGACCATTTCCATGTGAAACATTCTCAAATTCAGTAGTTGAAATCTGACTCATCCTTTCAGAAACAAAGAAAATGGTTTTCATCTCACTTAAAAATGCCAGCTCCAGTAGAATTTCCCTTCCATCCTTTCAAAGCATTCGAGGTAAAATATACCTGCATATATATACTTAGCCTCCATTCATTCAAACACTCTGTTGGTCGTTTCCTGTAAGGCAGGTAATGGGTTAAAGACAAAAATAGACCAGGCATCTAAATATGTCCATTATGAAATATGAACCTAAAGAAAGAAAAACAAAACATGATTCTGTGAACGTAAAATTTTTAAGTATGAGTTGCTGAGAGTAAATTCCTTTTAACAAAGTCTCGGTGATGGAAGGAAGAGAAACAGCTGTCCAACTAAGAAATACTGACCTTCTATTTGACGTTTGACTAACAGAACTAGGAGCAAGGCAAGCTGCAGGCGGGGGTGTTACTTACTGTACCACCGGGTGGCGCAGGCTTCTAGCGCTGTCTTTCAGGTCATATATGCTGGAAATCCGCAAGTAAAAAAGGAGGTATATTAGCAGAGGTCCTGTATATTCAGCCAGAAACACCTGAAAATGGGAACATTATTTACATTAAACATTGCAATTTTATATATTTTTAAACGTTTACATTGTATTCATTACAATTTTTCTGTATTAAAAAAAAGAAATTAGATGCTAACTCAATTTTTCCTTGGAAGAAACAGTCAAGTGTTAATGAGGCTGGATACCATAGAGTTTGTTGTTTAAAAAAAAAAGCAATTGAACTTTTTAAAAGAAATAGCATAATTATAAAGAATATTGTATTTGATGAAACAAACTTTTAAATATTTTTTTATCCATATTCTTCCTCTGTATTTCCTTTTGGTATGGAATGTCCTACAGCATGCACTTTTCTTTTTGTCTTGCTTTTTCTTTATATTTCTTTTCTTTCCACGCCTCTGCCATCTTTATCTATTGTTTGTGTCCTCGCTCCAACTGAAATAATTCAGCCCTCTCTTCCTGATAAGTTATGATTTAAGTCTGGTCATCTACGCAAAGATACCAACTTCTGAATATCAGAGACTCAGGTGATTATACAAGTAAAGAGAGATGTCTCACCTCCAGGGTCACTGGTGAAATCTGAAAAAAGACTTGAGATAAGATGATGTGATTGAAGGAAGTTTTATTTGCTGGCTAATTTTTTGACAGCTTTTCTGAATGCAAGAGATGCCCATTATTTGATTTTGTTTGACTACAGATTAAAGCCTCTTTATAATATTCAGAGATGGAAAAATAACTTAATCCTAAGTAGCCAAAGAGAAAAAAATATACAAAAATAAACATCAATGTCATTACCTACTTTCATTTGTCTTTACCCATTTTTAGCATTTTCTGAAGAAAACGTAATTGCATCTTCACAGTTTGATAAAATATTTATCTGTGCACACTCATAGAGAATCACTTAGAGTCTGAGTGAGAATTCCTACCAGATATATGATTTAAATGCATAGTATATATGAGTGTTTTATAAAATTGCATAAATACATAAAGAATGTAATATAGTTTTACATAAAGCAAATAATTACATGTTCGTTTCCTCAATTCTAATTCAGTCTTTTAAGTATGTGTATATATATTCATATATATTAAATAAAAGAATATTTGTGAAGGTAAAAGAAATACAGTATTTCATCAATTTATTTTAAAGGTAAATTTGTATGTTGTTAACTTATATCTAATATATAAAATATAAAAAATGTCACTTTGAATATCTAATGGTGGAGTCTAGTCCATACTTTGAAATAAAAAGAAAGGCAATTTGATACTATAGAAAGTTTAAAGGTTTTATTTTAATAGTATCATATCTAATAATGTCAAATTTGAGAAATTTCTCTAAGCATACATCTGAACCTATCAATATTGTGAACAGCAGTTGTTATGGCTTGTATTTGATTGTCCTCCCAAGCCTTCATGTGGTTATAGGTGGGACTTTTCTTAGATGGCTGTGTCTAGGCTGTGTGACACTGGAATTAGGAGTGTGAATGCTGGAATTAAGGATATGCATAACCCAAGCACTGTCCTGGGCATGGGTGCCGTCCGACAGACGATAGGTTTACAGTCGGGATGGAATATAAAAGGGAGAGAGTGGAGGCTTCTGCTGCTGCTGCTGCTGCTGCTTACTGCTCCCTGCTTTCTGTCTGCCACCCCATTAACTGTTTCCTCTGTGAGGCCCTCTGCCTTACTGCATTGCTTTGGAGCCAACTGACTATGAACTGAAATGTCTATTACCTGTGAGCTAGGAAAATAAACAAATAGACAAATAAATTATCTTTCTCCCTTTAATTACTTATCAATACAATTATTTAGGTACAGGGTGACAAAAATTTGCATTATTCGTTTACTTTTATAACAAGAAATAAAACGATTCTATCAAATATATTGAATAATTCCCCCATGTATAGTATATTTAAAATATTCAATACACAGTGCAGTATACAACATGGACAGTAGAATCTTGTCTCTGAAAATTTTTCTTCATTATTATCTTTCTTTGAATAACACATTTAACGCTGTGGTATTGGATTTTCTTCTTTTCTTGTGTGGTTTAACTTCAATAAATGTCTATCCAGTTAACCTAATGGTGAGGATGTCAATGATGCATTGGTTGGCATTTTGTTATACTGTATTTTTCAATTATTTGGTCTCATATCCCCAATCTAAATTGAAGGTGACATTTTAAACACCCGTGTTTCAAATAAATAACAGATGTTCTCTATACTTGCTCAAGAAGGTACATAAGTACTTTATAGTAATATTTTTTCAATTATAGTTTGCTGGATGTTGATCAACTGTCAACTGTCAGAATTATTATAATTAATAACCTTTATTTGAATTTTTTAAACTTTCATTATTATTAACCTTTATTTGAATTTTTTAAACTTTCATTTCTTTTAAGTTCTGTCATTTCAGTATTGTGAATAGTTGAAAGTAAGGAAACGTCCTTTTTGTCTTTCCATTTCTTAACAGACTTCCTTTCTGATAGACTAAGGATTCTCCCTTTTTCATTTTCTCTCCTGCAGATAATTCCGCATTTCTTCTTTTCGGTCACTGTGTCTCAAACTTACTGTACTGCAGAAGAATATCAGATGTATAAACATTATATCTCGTATACTTATGATAAAAGTGCTTATAGATTGTGATAAACATTGTTATTTTTCAAAAATATAATTTAAATTAAAAGAAAATAACTAGCACTTACCAATTTCACTAGAAACAAAAACCAAAGGTGAATATACTATTCTAAGTATAAATTATACCAAACATAGTCAACACAAACAGATATAAGAATGTGTCCCTGGTAAACCAACTGGTTGACGTGACAGCTGCTGAGTGATGGATGGTGTGGTCAGTACATAAACAAATGTGCTGCTCAAGTGATGCTCAAGGCAAACTACTAAGTGGTTAAATTTTGTGTGGGCATTTTGTTGCAGCAAAGAGAAAAGGTAATTGGGTACTTAACCTGGAACAAATGACACTATTAATTATTTTCAAAATAATAATTCTATCAGACAAATGAATTTTCTTTTGAATAGAGAAAATTAAGCATGCTACCGTACATGAATATATATATTGAGACCATAATTTTAGCTAAATATTGTTTCTGTTGAAATAGAACAGTTAAGGTTATACCAAGGTATAAGTATGACTCTTCCACGCACTAGTGAGTGATAATAAATTGCTTCTTAGCAATGCATCATTAAGTGTGTTCATTGAGTATACACTTAAGAAATGGTTAAAAATCTTTTAATTTAGTAATAAATAATTCACTATAAAAATAATGACAAGATAGACAAATATTAATATAAATGCTCATGAAAATTAAATTGCATTTCTGGTAAATATGTGGAAAACATCACCCAAATAAAATACAAAAAAATAGATAGGTATAGATATACATACCAAGCAAATCACAAAAAAATTATTAAAACTGTCAACTGCATGTTAATACAGACATAGATATTGTATATCAAAAAAGTTTAAAACTTCAAAGTTTAAAACTTTGAAAAAACTAATTTTCTTTATATTTCAACTTGGAAGCATTACAGAATTATAGTCATGATTTTTTTCCTTTTGAAAAATTATCTTTGTTTATAGTATGTTCCTTTTCATATGAAATCCATTATGTCTATTAGACAAGCAAGGACATGGGAGTCCTTGGAATTACTGAGAAATATTCAAGTTGCTCTATAGTTGTCTTATTTGTCTCTGGGTAACTGTATAGAATAATTATACAGTGTATTATAGCTATTGTTGATCTCATCATTTTGTTATGAAATGTTTTATTTTTTCAAAACATAAAAATAAGATTTTCAGTCTTCATAGACTACTTGGGTTGTTGAGGAATTTAAAGAAAGTCTGATTTGATGGTAATACACTCCTGTAAATTCAATTACTCACAGGGCTAAAGTTGGAAGATGTCAAATGACAACCTATCAATAGCCTACGTCAAAATGTATTTAACTCAGTATTACTGAGACTCTGGCTTTGATCCCAAGTACCTCAAATAACCAACATATCCAATAAATTTAGAGGTCACGTTTTTTGAAAAGGAGCTCTGAAGAAGTGACTGAATTAGGATTAAAAACCTGATAAGAGTATTTAAATAAAAGATTTCAATGACCATGTTGAAGAATGGAGGAAAAAAATCCTTTGGTTATTACTTCTCAAGGATGCATGTAGCCATATAAATACTGTACAATTTTTGTGAAGAATATACCAAAGCTCAGCATGACATCAATTCACTCATTTGACCATCAACATGGTCAAGATCCAGTAGAGACATGAGTAGACCTGGACCAGGATGAGTAATTCTATATCTCTGACATTTGTTTACATAAAATTCCCAATTTACTACATTTAATAAAAAGTGTACAGTAAAAACAGGATCAAAGGCATTACGATAAAAAGCAACAGAGACAGCAGACACCCACCACACATATATAAATTGTATTCAAAAATTGAAAGATAAGTTTGAGAATTTCAGATGATTAAAAGTATAATATGAATCTTAGAAAAAGGATATAAGAATGATAAGAGACAAGTAACTCATAAAAATACAATTATATACACATGCAAATATCTACTTATATGTACACATGCACATATGCATATATGTGCAGATAATATTCATATATACATATTTGCATATTTAGCTGGTAAATGGCATACTACTGCAACCATTCCTGAAACAAAATTCAAATTATAGATCATTATTCTCTATACTATAAACATAAATTAGAAACATGATCATACTTGTGAATCTCATAGGCAAAGTCAAATTACTTATAAACAAAAAAGCAAAATTTAAAATAAGCTAATGAAGATACAGACTATTTTAAAAAGAGCAGAGGTGAATTAGCAACAGAAATAGTAAAACTAAAATTCAAATAAAGAAGTTTGTGAACAAAAAAGAATTTCCAGCAAGAAAGAAAATCTTGTCCAAGCAAAAACACTACAAGAAGACGCGAATTGAGATCATTCACCAATGACTGGACTTGAATAAAGCACTATAGGTATCTTCAGGCAAA